TTCATCCCTCACTGGGCTGGAACTCCCTGCAGGCAGGGACTGTCCCCTTCACCATGACTGCCTGGTGCCCACTACTGAGTTAGCAGGGCTTTGGGGACAAAGGGACCTTATATCTGGCCCGAAAGAGGGTTTGCCTGCGGCCCAGTAGCAGTTGCCAGGGCTGCATGTGGGAATGGAAACGCCTCAGCTGCCCAACATTGTCCCCAATAGGCTGCCCTGTTAAAGTTGAATTTCAGATCAACAAGAACGAAAGAATTATTTTGGCCTAAGTATGTCTGTGCAATATTTGCGATCTAGTAAAAACTAGTTGTTGTTTGTCTGAAATGTCCATTGAACTGGGCAGCCTGCAGTGGCCACTGTGGGATGGACGCCCTCCTCCCTCTCTGGGCTGAAATCTCCAGATCCAGCTAGGTGGCCAAGACATCGTGTGTGAAGGTATAAAGGACACATTAGGACTCTTCTGTAGATTAGAACCGAGCTCTGTGGAAATGGGGGTTCGGCTGGACGACCCCTCCTTGATGTGTGTCAGAAGGTCGCGTGTGGAGGACGGCACTGGAAGCTGGGGGCAGGGGCGCCCACTTGTGTTGGTTACGTGGAGTTACGAGTTATATTCTCTAGTCTTAAGGAGCATAACTCTCAGAAGAGACAAGTAGCCTAGTGATTTTCTGCCAAGACCCGGGTTGAAATTATTCCAATAAGGCAAATAGGGGTAAACAGCAAAAATTGTCAGAGCTGACCCTCTGAGTTCTTTGTCAGGCACAGTATGCGCTTAAAAATAATGACTTTGTTAAACCTGATAAGTTGGCCAAAAATTAAAAATTACTGATTTGAAATATGGACCTCTCTCCAATACTGCTCATGCACTTCTTAAACTGAGTTTATAGGGATGTGAGATATCAGTGAATTGATAACTAAGAAATTACACATATTTTGTAAAACACAGATATGGGGAGTGGGAAGCCTTTACAGATCGGAGTACATGGCAAATTCGTCACCGCCGGTTCAGGCCGTGAGAGCTGGCACGGTCTCCAGAGGTTACTGTGCTCTCGGTTCCACTCAAGAAGAAAGAGACTCCACATTCTGGAGCCCCTGGTCGCCCACACACGACCCCTCTGCACCCCCCCACCCCCCACCCAGTCCCAGCAACACCGGGGGCCACCCTGACTGAGGGGCCGGCAGAGCCCCCGCTCCCATCTGGGTTTGCAGTCCAGTCCTTCCAGTTCTGCCTCCTCCCGGCCTCAGGACCTGGGTGTGTCCCCAACTGTCTCAGCCTCCTCAGCTGAACGCCTGTCTGAGAGTCTGCAGGTGGCTTCTGGTGCTGTTCCCAGCCCCCGGGGACATAAGTGGTGCTCAGGAGACAGTTAAATCCGCATCGTTAAGCACTTGGCGGCCTCTTCCTGTCCCCTGAAGGCCCGTTTGCCGCCCCTGTAGGCAGATGGGGTGAGGAGAGGTGAAGCGAGCCTTGGCTGAAATCGCAGAGAGCTGGCGGTGGGGGCGGAGCCCGGGGCCTTTGCTTTCCCGGGACCAGTGGACGCAGCTGAGTCCTCTCTCAAGAGCGGGCTCAGTTCAAGCGTAAGGGCTCGTACCCACCTCATTTTGCCAGGCGGCAGCTCTGTCAGCCTCGGTGGGTGGGTAGGAAGGACGCCCTCCCAAATGGGAACTGCTTCTCTTTAGGGGCTGGGGTCTGGGGGATTCTTCTTTAGAAAAAAAAAAAATCCTATCTTTATTTAAACAGCATTCATTGCGCCCTTCCTCCCAGAGGAGAGATGCAGACCAGGAGCGGTGACGAAGCCGGGGAGCCAGGCCCTCCCCCTGGCCCTCCAGCCCCACCTCCGTCTCCAGCTGAGGACCCCAAAGTCTCCTAGGCGGCTGGAACGTCAGTCACTTTGAAGTGGACTGTGACGGAGACTGTGGAACACAGTTCCGGGGAGGCTGCGGGTCGTCCTTGAAGACCGTCTTGGAAAATCTTCGTCCTTCCTTCCCAAGGCCTCTCCTGCACCCACCGTTTCCCAGCGCTGTCCCCACAGACACCCTCAGTCACCCTCGGGCCCCGCGCCAAGGCTCCGAAGCGTGTACATATCCAACTTCGAAGTTACGCCTTGCCGTGGGGCACTTATGGTAGTCAGTTGTGTCTGAATTAAAAAAAAGATTATTAGGCCTCAGCGCCTGTTACTGAATCTGGATGATGAAAAGTCCGGACCTCTGTGACCTTGAGATCTGAGCGCCACAGCACCCTGAAGGATTCGGGTTTTCCAAACCCAGCCTGGGACACCGCAGCTCCACGGCCTTCTGGCTGTTCCCACGAGCGTCTCCTGTGCTGGTGCTAAGCCGATCGCACTTCACAGGTAGGGACAATATTTTCAAAGTTTGATTCTAGGAGATTTAAGTGGAACTGAATTATATCACACGTCGGGAGATGATAAATGGGGGGAAAAATTCTAAATCGCGAGACAGGGTAAGGAAGGTTGGCCGTGGCAGAGGAAGCAGCAGGTCAGCTGCACCTTTAAATAGCGTCGTCTGGGCACAGCCCGTGCGGGAGGTGACGTGTGAGTAAAGATGTGAGTTGGGTCCGTGCACAGCTGGGGGAGCCAGGGCCAGGGCCTGAAGGCAGAACCGGGCCTGGCGAGGAGGGCGAGGAGGCCAGTGGGGCTTGGCCGGGGGAGCGGAAATCGGGGGGCATGAGTGGAAGACGAGGTCACAGTGGTGGGGGAAGGAGGTGGGGACCGCGTGCGCTTGGTGAGGACTCCCAGTCTGACTGAGTGAGATGGGAAGCCTAGCTGGCTTTCAGCAAAGGGGAGGCGGGCTCTGGCTTGTCCTGTACTGGGGGTCGCCGGCTGCTGTGCCGGGCTTAAGCTGTATGGCGGGAGGGAGCAGCATCATTTCAGAGGCTACTGAAGCAATCCGGGAAAAGGACGATGGCGATGTGGACCAGTAGCAGTTGGGGCGGTGACAACTGTGGTCAGGCCCTGAATAATGGAACCAACACGTTTCTGTTGGGTTGGATGTAGGGTTACGAGGGAGGAGGGAGGAGGGAGGAGGTCTCTGAGTCCAAGGATTGTGGCCTGAGCACCTGGAGGACAGAGTCCCCGTCAGCTTCCAGACAGGCAGATGGGGCGTGTCCAAGGGGGTCGCGGCAGTTATGCAGACATTCTGTTTTTGATGGTTTGATGCGCCTAATAGACATTTAAGTAGAGATGTCGAGTGGGCAATGAATACATGGAGTAATGTGTGAGCTGGACACATACATTTGGGGAGCCGCCAGCACGGTGATGGCATCTAACACCCTGATACTCGGTGAGATCCCCAGAAGACTGGGACCCTAAGCTGAGCCCGAGGGCGCTTCAGTCTTAAGAGGCTGGGACCTGGTCATGGTTAATTTTATGTGTCAGCTGACCGGACCGAGGGGCGCCCGGATCAAACATTTCTGGTGCGTCTGCGAGGGTGCACCTCTGGTCCAAACAGAATCTGGGGGAAGCAAGGACACTTCAGAGAGGGGGTAAAAGGCTTAGATTCCAGAGTTCCTGACAGGACCTGGTGTCCCAGACACTTTGGGGCATGAGAAAGCCGAGGCAACTCGGGCGCGTTTCTGGGGAAAGCCCGAGTGGGTGGCAAAGTTCCAAGACAGGGGCCCTGCACCCACAGACCGAAAGCTGAGACCTGGGAGGAAGGGTGTGAGCACCTGAGTCTCCTGCCGCGCAGGTGAGCTCCCAAGACGTCCCTGTGCCCCGGTGGGACACAGAACAGGCTAGAATAAGGTAGCACGCCCGAGGGGCCGGCCATCGGAACTGGCGACGGAGGCACGGATGTCACCAGCAAATGCCAGAATCTGCGCCGATGCCGAAAACCGGGCGTGATGAGCGGCGCTGCCTGGATTCTCCCCTCTGCTTGCTGAGGTCCCCCCCACCCACTTATCTCAACCACAGGCGCCACCTCGAAGAGAGTGGAGCCGAGGAAAAACCTGACTTGACTGAAAACACACTAAGAGAACAGAGTCGCAGCTGAATTGGCCAGAGAAAGTGTTCTACCGTTACGTACAATGGCGCCTCGAGAGAGAAATCAAGTTCGGTTATTAAAAAATAAAGCTATAAGCTTTGCTCACCCCATGAATTTATGAAATTCATGCCCGTGACAGCAAATGAGAACCAAGGTGGAGCCAGCGTGAAGAGAGGGTGAGCTGGGGAAGGATGGAAAGATGGCTCGGGAAGAACCGAGAACACCGGGGTGGAGGGGAGGTGCGTGGGTTCCACTGTTCGCTGGTGTCATCCCGGGCAGCCCCTGAAGACCTGGTTACACACACACACGTGCACACACACGTGTGCACACACAGCACACACCTTCAGCATCCCGCAATCACAGCTCCCCGCCCAAAGGAATTGTCTGACGGTTGGAATCTGTACTCCTACACGAAGTGGCCCACGAGGTCCCAGGGGAATGCTGCATGCGATTATTTTATTTCACGGGGCAAAGGTTACGCAACACCCAACCGGACTCGCCCGGAAGCACCGGCAGCCAGCTCCAGTCAGCGCGTCTTGCGTGCGCTGGGTGCTGGCCACAGAGCGTCCCTCCGCCTTCGGAAGCAAGAATTTTCACCCTGGCTCGTGGTGACCATGTGACAGGCCAGGCCCAGGATTCCACCCGGGGTGGCTCATTTCTCCCCAGCTCTGCTCCTCCAAACATGTCCCCTTAGGCCAGCGAAGGCCATATATAAAAAGCCTTGTGGTTTTCATGAAGAAACTACGATGCATTATGGCGTCTGCCCCAAATCACCAGCACACTTAAACTACTTCGGCTAAACATCCCTTTCGAAGCTGACAGAAGATTATAACGTCTATTGTGAAACCGTCTACATCCTCAGCTTGCTATTCACACGCAGGCAGACGTGGCGACAGTGCACATTCTCCAGCCTTGAGGAAAGCTGCAGGGCACGGGCGGGTGGCTGTCCGCTCGGGAGCCCCGAGCACCGTCTCCTTCTGCCTTTGCTGACAGAGCTCGGCCGCTCATCACATCTTGGAGAGCCTGACGTCGTAGGTGACCATGTTGAAGTTGTCCCAGGCAAAGAGCTTCTTCTCCAGCGGGTTGTAGTCGATCATGCTGCTGTACTCGTAGAGGTTCCGGAACGGGATGGCCAGGGCCTTGCTGCTGCCTGTGGCTGTGTCGAAGGCGAAGTTGACAGCCGCCTCGGGCGCCGAGTAGCTGCTGACCGTGTACAAGGTGCCGCAGATGACGAAGGCGTTGGCCACCGACTGCTTCCGGATGTTGGTCTCCCAGGTCTGTCCCAGCTCCAGGCTCTCAGGGTTCAGCCTGGAGAGGACGATGGCCCCTTTGGCCTCCTCCGTGCTGTAGATGACCCAGAGGCCCGTCTCATCCACGGCCAGGTCGATGTCCGTGTAGCCGCCCCAGGAGTATGGGAACTGTCCATGGTAGCCGGCTCGCGGGATGTCCTTCTCGGCCTTCACGGTCTCGGTGCTCAGCTCGTACCTGACCACGGTCCTGGACCCAGCCCCCTGGAAGTAGAGGCTCCCCCCGTACACCACGGAGCCCGTGCTTTCCAGCGGCCTGGGCAGCACGTGGACCTTGGAGGGGTAGCCCTGCGTGAACTGGCTGACAAGGCGGTACTCGAACACCTGCCGGACGGCCGAGCCCACCGTGTCGATCCTCCACGTGGTGTCTCGGGTGTAGGGGTACACAGGCTTGGGGTCTCTCATCCACACGCCGTACTTGCCGGTGATGGTGTCGGCGGTTCTCAGAGTGACCGGCTCTCCTACCCACACGAGTTCTCCGCATCCTGGGGAATTCAAAACAAAACGGGAAGCACCGATCGGCCGTTCCACGCTGTGGAGGCGCGGCAGAGCCAGCGGGCGCGAGGACCCCAGACGCAGACACGAGGACCCCAGACGCAGACACAGACGGTCTGGGTTCAAATCCCGGCTTTGCCACTCGCTGGCTGTGTGACTTTCAGTTAAGTTACTTTGCTCTCTAAGCCTCAAATCATTATAATCATCTCTATAAAACAGGGTTTTTCAAGCCCTAATCGATGGGCCACATATTTCAGACAGCATTTTAATACAATCTTAGCATCATTTACAAATGTAACAAAGAGGTGGTTGAAAACTTAGGTTCAGCGGAATCACAGAACATGCCTGTATTTTCATGGGAACCTTCACTTGCCTTACAGCAGGTGTTCATGTCTCAGGGAGTCATATTTTAAAAATTTCAACACTCCCCAGCCCCATGCGTGCCCTTCCGTGCTGGCAATAATGGTCAGCAACACAGCGACCGCAGTCTTTGTCGTAAAGTCAGGCTCTCGGGTGAGTCTTTGGAGAGGGGCGATCGTGTTTTTCCTAAGCACCCGCATTTTGGAAAAGATACCTTTAGCGAGACCGCCTCCCCAGATGGTGCATGGGGTCCATCTGGCCTTCAGATAAACATACGCAGGGCCCAATGAAAAATATCGTTTTTCCAGTGGAATCAGTTCCACGTGACAACCGAGGGGGTGACATCAACACATCTCTCGTCCTCCCCCAGTGCAGCCCAACCCACTACCCCAGGTGTGGGCGATAAGATACAGGGCTTTGTTGGGAAGAGGCCGACTTCCTGGCAGAATGCCCCGGACAGGGAGCGAAGCACAGGACCGGACACAGATAAAGACCACGTAGCTACAAAAGAGAAATTTAACTTCATACCAGTGTCCCCCGCTTCGCTCCTGGGGTGGCCAGATGGACTGTCCAAGATCTGGGAAGCGGGAACCGCAGTTAACTCCGACTTCAGTTCCTGGAAATCCAAATTCTCCCAATTCCATGGAGAAACTATATTAAGAGAAAGAGACAACATTGCACGGTGAGGAAAAACGGCCCAACGCCGGTGTGGAGGATGGCGTTTTAAATAAATAGGCTTCCCGAGATCTGACGACGTTTTGAGATTTAAGACCATCCGTCGGGGAGAGGAAGGGAGGATGAACCGAGATCGGACTCTGCTGAAGACTGCCGGGACTGGGGGGTGGGTAGCGTTCTCTCTACTCGTGTGGATGTCTGAAAAATTCCATCATAAAAAGCTCACAGAGAATGCATTGCACAGTCATGTGCTGAGCACAGAGTGGGGCATTCGAAATAACATAGAGGCAGTTGGCGCAGCATTAAAATCGTTCCCAGCAGAGGGTCTGCCTTCCGAGTAGGCGAGGCGAATGGTTCCGGGATGTTGGGGAGGCCCTCAGCATCTCCTGCGGGGTGAGGAATTCGACACCCAGCCGTTCTCTGCGTGACTTAGGGTTTTCCTCCTCGCCATGAGAAGTAGCACGTTAGCTTTCTCGTGCTCTGTGGAAATACTCTTTCTGACACCAGTACTGGACACCGAAGAGAGCGTGCAGGACTCCGCAGAGAAGGGCAGAGGTGTGGACGCTGGTTAGACATGGTCGCCACGTCATCACAGGGATGGGGCTTAGGGTTATGGTCATACAGGAGTTTCTGAATACAAGGGAAAAGCCAGAGGCACAAGGAGCAGGCGTAGCCGTTCTAAACTGGGGGTCAGGTTGTGATTCACATGTGGTGAGGCCAGCAGGTCAGGAGACAGTTGCCACAGAAAAGGGAGTTTGCTGTACTCACTGGTCCTGAGGGGCGGGGCGGGCACGTCACAGGCCGCACGGGGAAATGCAGGGTCGGTCAGGAGGGAGGGGCTGTGCCCAGCTGTCTGGCGGCTGCACTGAGGAGAGCAGGCCCTGGGCGAGGCACTCGCTATCATCACCTCTACCCCACACGCCAATCCTGAGGGCGAACTTCATTGTCTTCACTTTGCTCATGAAGAAACCGAGGCTCAGGAGGTTAAGTAACCTGCCCACGGTCACACAGCTGGTACGCGGTGGGGCTAGGACGTGACCATGTCTGCCAAGGTCGTGGCGGCCAAGAACCCTTCCACCCTGTGGCGGGGAGGCGTGTCACTTGCAAAGGCGTTGGCTCTGGTGTCCTGGGCGCCTTTGCTCTCTGAAACCCAGGCATTTTCCCAGCCCCGTTAAGCGAGCTGGGTGTTAGGCTTCCCCAGCAGAGGCCGCCTGAGGGGACTCCCCGGGGCGTTAAGTAACCTGCCCACGGTCACACAGCTGGTACGAGGTGGGGCTATGATGTGACCATGTCTGCCAAGGTCGAGGTGGCCGAGAACCCTTCCACCCCGGGGTGCCGGCCTGGCAGTGTGCATGTGAGGACTCGGGTGGGGCCGAGGCACAGCTCCTGGGGGACCTGGCAGCCTCATCCGGGCCATAACCTTCAAACAGCCCTCTCACAGGGCCCCTGGAGCCCTGCACGGGGACCCCTCCCGGCTCTGCAGGGCTGGGGCAGACTGTCTCTGACACCTCCGTGTCCAGCCGCAGCTGGCTGGCCGCTCCTGCCGACCCTCTGGAGGTGGCCTTGGTGGCTCTGGACCTGCTCCAGCCACCATCTCTGCTCTGCTATGAGCTGAACCCCACCTTCCCAACGAGGTCCAAACCCCCTCAAGTCTGTCCCCGGCCCGAGGGCGCCATGTAGAGTTTAATGATATCTCACAGCGACCATCATTGTAATAATTCTTTATAGTAAATGTCTCTGACTTAACTTGCTCAGTGGTTTCTGCTCTGAGTGGACCCAGATTGCCAGCGGAGGCTTGACGAGAGCCTCGAAGGTGCCGCTCAGCCCGGCGGGGACTGACCCACTCCAGGGGCCGTGATCCGACGCCGGGGGTGGGGGTGTTGCTGGCACGCGCAGCTCCCCGGTGGCACACGCAGAGAGTCCAGGAGGTGGTGCCAGCAGAGGGGCGTCCTTTCCTGTCCCACCGAGAACCTCGGGGCTCTGAGCAGCACCCCACCCCCACCCGCCTCGCCCAGCCCCTCATCACTCTGCAGGAACCAAACCTCATGTGCCTTTTGGGAGTAAACAAGAACCACAATAAAACATGATATCAGGGAATGGCTCCGGGGCGGCTGCAAGGCCAGCTCTCAGCTGGCAGGTGGGCCGCTTGGATCAGAAGTCTGCTGGCTTCTTCTTGGTCGTGTCGGCCAGGAGCGCCTGGCACCAGTCCGATTCCCAGAGTGGAGCCGTCTGGTGTGAGGACCGAGGCCCGTGGGAGTGGACGCAAGGCCCAAAGGAAGGCGCCGGACTGGGCCAGAAGCCGTGGCTTCGGTCCTGCCGTGGCCCACTCTGCGACTTCGGGCCAGTTACTCCACCTCTCTGAGCCTCGGTATCCTCAGGTCAAACTAGAAATGAAATGGTCCTCCCTAGGGATGTGTCAAAGCTAAAATTTCTCTGGACTATTTAAAAATCACATCTCATTCCGAATGTGGGGGGAAACCAAAAAGGTTACGCAAGTATTGAGGGCTATGGTGTCCGACGGGGAAACGTCTTTAGGGCTTTGTTTCTATTAAAATTCAGTTCTCCCAGCGTTGAAGGGTTCACGTCGACTACGAAATTTAAGTCTTTCTCTGCTTGTCCTTCCCTACCTCCCTTCCCTCTGCTTTATAGACACTTTCTAGAGAGCTCAGCCCTGAACAGTCAGGTCAGTGTCACAAACACGGAGAGGACGGAGAAGGAGAAGCGTGCCGACATAATCACAGGTCGTCATAGTACCCTAGGAGAGCGATGACTAGCTAGCAGGCCATCGTCTCCGTCTCCAGAATCCATGCGTGTTACAGAAACACCATGCACATGTTGACGCTTTAATGACATTTTAAAACAGTAGCTCACATGAACAGTCAGGTCAGTGTCACAAACACGGAGAGGACGGAGAAGGAGAAGCGTGCCGACATAATCACAGGTCGTCATAGTACCCTAGGAGAGCGATGACTAGCTAGCAGGCCATCGTCTCCGTCTCCAGAATCCATGCGTGTTACAGAAACACCATGCACATGTTGACGCTTTAATGACATTTTAAAACAGTAGTGGAGCTCACGCGACAGAAGCCCTTTGTAGCTGTAATTTATTTCCTGGGAGGCTGCTCTGTGCCAGGCACCGTGCTGGAGGCTTCTCCAGGTGACTTCTAACCCGAGTGACAACCGCATGAGGGACTGTCAGCCCCACCTTACAGGTGAGGGAGTGAAATCTGCAGCTTCTGGGCTGAACACCTCTGGTGCCCCCACCTTCCCCCGCATATCCTGCCCACCCGTTCCCAGCCAGTGATGTGGCACCCTGCCTCACGCAAGCGTCACCTGCTAGGACCTCGCCTCGCTGCTCTGCCCCAGCTTCCCTGATGCTCTGTAAGAATTAGCCTGGTGCCCATGTCTGTGCATCATGGAAGTGGCATATTCCCAGCGCGATGGCCCCTGGCCAACAGAGCATCCGCCCCAGAGATGACGAATGTCCCCTCCCCCACTGCACTCAGCACAGGCCTGCTGGCAACGGGCCTCGTCGCCCACTGAGGTGACCAGCTGGAGGACGTGCCCCTCGATAGCTCTCCTTCCTTCTCTGTCTCCCTCGCCCCTGTCCCCTACTTCTTCACCCAGAGACTGTGACCCATAGAAGCCACTGTGCACAAGCCGTCATCCAGGCTCTGTCCCCTGGGAGGGCCGGTCCGAGCAGAGGCTCAGTTAAAGGGGAAAGAGGGGCTTTTGGTGATGTGTATCTTCCTACTTCAGGCTCATTTAGAAGATTTACAGACATTTCTATTGTCAGGGAATGGCTCCAGGACGACTATTCCCGACAAAACTATTACTACGAAATTGTGTGTGTGTGTGTGTGTGTGTGTGTGTGTGACCTCAACTCATACACACACATATAAACAAGTGATTTCCATGATGCTAGAGAGATTTTTTTCCTATGCAACAATTACATGGTAAAGAACGTGGTAGGTGACAGTCTGAAATAAGTACTGCCTTGTGACACTTTCACTAAGAATGATTCCTTCCTTTGTTCTCAAAATTCCAGTTCACCAAGTCTCAGCTCCACCCCGATCAGCCCTGCAACCTGAGTTCCCTTAGCAACACTGCACCTCACTTTCCTTAGCTGTAAAATTTAGAGCTGGCTCTCAGCTCTAACAACAAACGATGCTTCAAGATCCTTTACCACTAAGAGTTATTTCATTTGCGTCCCACGAGCATTATTATTCGCAGGAGGCATTTCCTGTGCCCGGTCGGTCGTGGAGAAGAAACCGAGCGGGGGAGGCTAAACGACTTGCCCGAGGTGACACCCAGGCACCTACGTGAGTTTTCTAGCCTCACGCAGATGTGACTCCCACGCAGAAAGTCTTTTTAGGAAGTATTTTTTCCATCATTTTGTTCTGAAGATTTTCAAGCCTATACAAAAGTTGAATACTACAATTGCTGACTGCTTAGATGCATCAATCGTTAGTATTTTGCCACGTTTTACCTTCCTCTCTCCCACTCTTTGTAGTTACGGTCTTTGCGGAACCACTGGAAAGCGAATCGCAGACATCCTGACACTGCAAAGTGCCGTATCTCACGCAAGAAACCTGACATGAACCCAGTAACGTAATCTGAGCGGATCCCCAACTGCCCTGTGTTAGTTTTCTACCCGGGGTGCGGGAGCCAATCCAGGGTCGTCACTGCGTGTGGTCACCAGGTCTCTGGAGTGTCCCTTTATCAAGAACAAGCCCCTCCCCCACCCCCTCCCGCCTTTTTCTCTTCCTTTCTTGATGTCGACATCTTGGAAGAGTCCAGAATAATGGTCCCGCCACTGGGTTTGCTTGCTCGTTCCCTCACGATTAGACGACTAATTAGTGAATATTGGCAGCGAAATTTCCCAAAAAAGTGACAGGAATACGGTCTTGCCAGCTCACTTCACTCGCCCGCCTCCTTCTGGGCGTGAGGTCTCTCGGAGGAAAGAGAGGGCAGAAAGGGCAGACCGGGGCCGCCCGTGACATGTCGCCCTGAACCACGTCACATTCTGGACCCAGAGGTTCCTGAGTCACATTCTTACCTTCCCTGGAGCCCGGTGGCAGCTCCCGGGAGGCACCGCGGGCCTGGGGACACTGGCCCCTTCTCAGCCTTTCTGCCTCCTGGCTGCAGCCCTGCAGCCTGCTGGCCAGGTCCTCGTTCTCCGTCGCCAGCTGCCTCCTCTCGTCCTCCAGAAGCGCCTTGTCTCGGAGGAGGTTGCTGTAGGCCGCCTCCAGCTCCCTGGTCCGGGTTTCCAGCTGAGCTCGCTCCCTCAACAGGGGGCCCAGCTCCGGGGTCTCCGAGGAGGGCCTGGCGGCCTGGTCCGGGGTCAGGTGGCGGACAAGGCCCTCTAGGGAGCTGATTCGGGCTTGGGCGGCCTTCAGGTCTGCACGCTGGGCGCTGCTGGCTCTCTGTAGGTCCTGGATGGCTGACATGGCCTGGCCCTGCTCAGGGCAGCTGGACTCGCTGGGGCTGACCACACTGAAGGTGTACTGGCAGCGACCACTCCGGTCATTGGACTTCTGGAGCTGGGCTGTCCTGGCCCCCACACCCCACAGCAGACAGGCCAGCAGCAGCAGCTGGACAGCGAGCATCTCAGGCCTGTAGCTGCAGCAGCGTCACAGAAGCCCTCAGTGCAAAGGCCAGGCAAGGCTCCCCCTGGAAAGCTCTGCTACGCAGCGAGGTGTGTGGATGGGTGGCCCTGCCGGCTCATATATAGCGGGGAGCCAGCCCTGCGTGGGGGGGAGAGAGGTGGCCACGTGAGGCCGGGCGGGGCCGTGCACACGGACGTTGTTTTCACACGGCCAGCACGACTCCTAGAAAATGACCTTCCAGAAGTCTGTTTTGAATTTCTTTTTTTAAACAAAATGTCCTACTCTATGCACCCACACCCCCTAATGGTCCCCATAGCCCCCCCCGCCCCCCGTTCTACATGGACGCCCTTGCACCCGCCACCTCGTCCAGCAGGACTCGTGTGCCAGTTTCAACAAGGACTGATTTCCAGCTTCTATTTCCATTTACTCTGCAAACTTTATTGAGAACCTGCTGTAGGCACTAGGAACGGGGGGATAGACATGCCTAAAATGCAGTCCCTGTGTCCCCGGAGCAGTGACAGAGGCAACAGCCAGCCAGGACATAAGGGCCGCAGGCCCCCAGGCTTCAGGGAGCAGTAGAAGCAGCGGGGAAGCGGAATTCTTCCTTTGTTTCTGGCTTTTAAACAAGTGCGGGCGTATCTCCGGGAGAACTTTCTAATTCCGGTCTTGCATCTCAGGCACCAGTGTCAATGTGAGCGTCTACCGTGTCTGTGTAGGTATGTGTGTTTGTGAACCTGACTGACGAAATCTGTGGAGCCCATCTCAGGAACGTGTTTTAAAATGTATGAAATACATAGGGTTGCATAGAAAACACATAGTATCGAAACAGTATTATCAAAATATTTTTAAAATTTGAAATATACCTGTTTGTCTTTGTTAAAAACCAGGTCTAGCTGGGGGCGGAGGTGGGGGGAGGGTCTAATTTCAAGTAGTAGTTTTGAGTGTAAATGCGAACACACGTATCTGCCACAGCGTAGCGGGAGGTAAAATGTGACTTCTGTTGGGGGTGACGGAGTTGCGCTGCTAACACGACTTTAGATTTATGGCCATATTCACGATGGAATGAAATGTCAAACCAAAGTTTTAGTTAGAAGGCGGTGACAATAAAGATGTATTTTTTTCCCCATCCCAATTTATGGGCTTCCTGGACCCTAGGTTAATAGCCTCTAATAAACCCAAAGAGAAAAAATAAAATAGAACAAATGGAAGAAAAAAGCACACCAAATATGCCAGGAGGAGTCCAGGCAAATCATAACGCTTAACATACCCTCCTCGGTAACTTTTAAAACAACGTTTGCATTTGAGCAATTGAGGTTGTCTGATGCCAGTGACATCTTCAATGTTTGTGAAGTCAAGATTTCAGAGGTGCCCTGGCCGACTCACATTTCACTCTAAATATTCTATTCCTATTTGATTGGTTCTGACGTTAGACTTGAACTTGAGAAATTTACAAATGGGCGTCTGTTTACTGCTGGCTAAAAGGCACTATCCTCGGTTTCTGAATCAGATAATAAGCATGACTGAAATGATTTAACAAAAAACATGTCAGCAAGAGCTGGTTCGAACCTGTCAGGCTTTACTCTGAGAAATGTTTTCTTTCTGCTGAAACGGCCGAGCTGGTTCCCGTGCTGCTAGCCCCGGGGAGGTAAAGAGCTCCAGATAAAGCAGTAATTTACTGCGTCAGTTTGCTCAGGATGACTCTGCTTGTACAGGAAGAACGTAGGGCTGGAAGGTCCGCCTAGAACTGATCGCTTCTCCGTGAGTCAGTAGCATGAATCTGCAATTCCCGTGGCTTTTCCGGTCGGTTCCCATTGCCTTTCGATGAATCTTTGCCTTTTCCACTCACACTCTGTCCCTCCCTCTTTCTTTGGCTCCCTGCCCTAAGCTGCAGGCCAGTGGGTGGCATGAGCAAGCACCGTGGAGCTGTGTGGGTGCTGCCCGGGGGCGTGGAGCTGTGTGGGTGCTGCTCGGGGGCGTGGAGCTGTGTGGGTGCTGTTCGGGGGTGTGGAGCTGTGTGGATGCTGCTCAGGGGTGACAGTTTTAACAGCCTCTGCCATTTTCCCTTGGTCCAACCCAGTTTCTGAACGCAGGGCAAAAGCTGCCGCCAGTTTTGCTCAGCGTTCCCTGGCAAATGCCACCGTGTACACGCTTAGGGGCAGACACGGTGGCTGTTGGGTTCATTGAGCTTTCCTTGGTCATGGCGGGTCACCATCCTGTCCTCCCCCGGGGGCCTGTCCTGCTAAGAGCTGCTCAAGCTCGCACGTCGGGCTTCCTCGCTGACCCGCCATCGCCACCCCCATGGCGGGCACCTCAGCTGCTTGAGCTCGGCCCGCAGCCCAGTGACAGCACCTCCCTCTCGAAGCCTTCATGGACACCCACAGACAAGGACAGAGAAGGAGAGGGACTTGCCCAGGGCCACACAGCGGGTGAGCGGCAGAACCAGAGAGGGAGCCGAGGCCTCGCGATGCTCAGGTCTTCCACCGTGCACGAGCCACGTGCGCAGCCTGGCGCTTTCACGGTGGCCCTGTGACACTGGATTCCATGTTCTCCCGGAGCAGAGCGGAGGGCACAGGACACGCCCGGCCGCTGGCCCGTGGTGAGCATCTGCGCGCCTTCGGCCGCCCCCTTCACCACCCCGGCCGGGGACCCCGTTCCACCGTCTGCCCCACACTGGCCGCCAGGCCCTGTCCGTCTCCGTGTCCTTTCTGGAGCCTGGAGCCGGAGGGTCCCCCGCTCAGACGCCCCCTGCCGCCGGGAGGCGCTTCGGGGCCAGCGTTGGCGTTGGGCTCGTTGCGGGGCGCGGGGAGGCGCGGCGATCCAGGTCGGCGGATCGAGGCCGAGTGGGTCCCAGTCGGGTTTCAGCGGCTCAGCCTCCTATTTTCTCCTGCAGCTCATCCCTGACGATCACCCCGTGAAGGCAGGCTTTGCTCCCCGCTTTGTCCCCAGTGTCTGGCAGATAGAATGCTCAATAAATTTTCGGTGGGCGCGGACGCGTACATAGGGGACGAGGACACAGCTTCCAGTGTCACCGTCTTCCAGGCTGCTCAGGACACTGCGTGCCTGCCTGGTGTCTGCGCGCAGGGCTCTGAGCTGGAGAGGTCACCTTTGGGGGGCCGGGGTCCAGATGCGATGGGTTTGCGTTTGCCTGCGTCTCACTGCGGACATGGGGCTCACCGCAAAACACGCGGGATTGCATGATAACTTCAGCGTGGAGACGAGGCCCAGGGAAGGGGCTGCGGAGAAGAAGCCATGCCGAACTGGGGACCTCGTGGCCCCATTCTTGACCCCGCGGTCTTCACGGGTTTCCTGGGCAGTGCACCATTCAAATGACGCGTTATGAAGCACCTACTATGTGCTCGGGGCTGTGGAACACATGCTAACGTGTAAGACCCAGAGCCCACGGCAAGGAGCTCCGGAGATGTAACACGGGAGGCCATTCAGGGGACCTAGTGTTAGCGAAGCGGGGGTAGGTGGGGAGGATGGAGCGGGGAGAGCTCACCCATGAATGGGACTGGCTCCGCCGGGAGGCGGCCTTTGTAATGGGACCTGAAGAGATGACGCGTTAACAATGGCTGAGACACACAGGTTGTAGACTCGGCTACAGGTCTGCCCGGGTTCTTCAGGTTGTGTCCGATGACGAGGCATGCAGAATCGCTTTCAGAGTAAACACGTCCATTTCCTCTGCTGCTGCCTCCTGACACCCTTTGGCCCAAAGCGGCAGGAAAGGGGAGGGTTTAGGCCAGAAAGCTCTGCACAGTCTCTTCCATCCAGCGCTGGTCCAGGTGGGAGCTGGTCCTGGGCACCGGGGCATCCTCCTCCTGTAGGGAGAGGCAGAGGCTTCCAAGACGTCCCTGTAAGATGGCCCTGTACACGGAGAGGGAGGCTTTTATGGGGCCGAAGGGGTGTAGCATAGGGGCAGCCCTCCCAGCAGAGCCCAGGGAGCCCCAACTGTCAAGCTCGCATCCAATTAAAATCAAGCCACACTGAAATCGTCACCATAACACTGTTGGCAATTTTCAGCCCATAGATTCTACTGCTAGTCCCATGAATATCCCATGACGCTGTGTTAAGTGAACGAGTTTCTTCTCCACTTACAGACGGGTAGGATTTTCACAGGTATTGGGGGCGGGGGGAGACATGGAAATATGAAAGGAAGCACACAAAAAAAGGCGAGATCCTTTGAAAAGACCAAACAAGAGTCCAGTTTGAGAAAGAGCATCTGGCCTGTGATTTGAGGGTCATGATCTATCAGCTGGAAGGGTTAGGGGTCAGACACTGATTTCTAACGACTTCTGATCTGTCAGCAGCTGGACACAGCGTCCGTGTACACCTGACGTTCCAAAACTGTCACCCATGTCTAAATTAACCGATTATGTAGCACATATTAATTTCATACTTAAAATGATGAAAGTCGGTTCTCTTTCGAGAGTTTCTTGCGATTCCTTAGGAAAACTGGACTCACTGAAGGGGCCTCAGGACCCCTGCCACAGGCCCTGTGATTTGACCATAGCAGGTGCCTTTTAATTGTCTTTTGTTTGACTCTTTCTTTTGCCTTTTCCTCAAAAGCCAGACTTAGTCCAGTCAATTGTCTGTGTCTCTTGACAAGGAGATGCGAATATGTTCCAACCCCTGATCAGGTCTGATATCAAAGCCTACCCAGGCCCCGTTAGCTTCTTGCATTTGGAGAATTTTGGTTTTGGCTCTTATTTTTATGTTTTCTGTGAGCTTGACCTTCCTGAGCTCGCCTCCTAAAGTGATGCTGCCTGGGGTTCCCCCACCCTCTTTTTAAAAAATAATGACCCACTTTGGGATCTGATCAGACCATGCTTTTCGTTTTTCTCATTTTTCCCCCCAAATTTCCATCCTGAGGAGCAGATACTTAATTATCAATTTGTCAATATCTTTCTGAGCTGTTTCCTTATTCGCCGACCTGTGGTTCTCATCACTTTCTCCAGAAATTAAAAACAAGGGGAGCGTGTATTTTCCATCATTCTTTGCGCTCCTGGAATTCTCGCTGG